GACGGTCCGTGCTGGTCGACCGTAGTTTGTGTCAGAGGCTGGGTAAGGGAAGTCTCGATCCACGGACACAGACCACGGACCGTGGTCTGACCTACAGACCGTGGGTCGAGACTTAGCCGATTTTCTAAGCTAGGTTGGGGAGGGGTTGCAGTGGTGAACCACGGACCACCAGCACGGGACGTGGTCTGACCTACGGTCCGTGGATGGCAACCGTGGGTTGCACCTGTAACTTCTCAAAATCTGCATTTTGGTCTAAATAGGAAACGGGGTGTTACAAATATATTTTCTTTTTAGTAATGATGTGAATGTACTCGCTATTTTCTCATAAAATTATATATATTATTAAAAAAAGCTTTTGCGCACCTCAATTAATTTCACAATACTTCCAAAGAGTTGTTGTTTTATAGATCCAAGCCTTTTGAATTGTTCTACATTGTGGACTAACGTTTTTAATTGAACCATAAAATTCTTTCACAATAGTAATGAAAACTTACTTCATTTTTTTGTTAAAGAACAAAATGAAATTCAAATGGAGATGAACAAAATGTCACAGATTTTATTGAAACTATACCATAAATGGCTCATGCCATATTGATCTTTTACAACAGAGAGATGACTTCCTGTAAGGATGACAATGGGGCGGGGAGGGGTGGGGCGGGAGTGTCATGACTATACACTGACTGGTGCATTATGAGACAATCAATACACAGTTGTCTTTAAACTAAGCTGTAGAAACTTGTGCGCACAAGTAGACAGCTGCATATACGTGATCAGCATCATCAATGATCCAGTCTACTCGGTAAAACCTTTGCTGTAAAATGATGGAGTTGAACTATACAAGAAGAACACAAGCCTTGACCTGAAAAGGCGGAAATGAATCACACTGTTACAATGAAAGCAATTTGCATAGGAAAGACGAGCAGTTTCACGAGTTCTAGCAAGTCAGCAGAAAGAACACTAAATCTTTTATGAGTCTGTCAGTGGCGGAGCCATCTTGTTCCAAGGGGTATTGATCGACACCCCTTCACTGAAAGATTACACCGAGGAAATAGGTGAAAAAATAGTTTTTATGTTTATATACTATCTGTTGAATCCCCCTGGCTTCTTCGTGTGTATACTTTTCTATGTTTTGACTCCCCTTAGTGAAAACATAGCTCCGTCACTGAAGTCCGTCGAGGTACTAACAAATGCATGAGCAGGTAAAACTTCTGCAGTATAATTAGGTAATATGGCAATAGAATCTGTCAAATATGTTCACGCATGCAAACTACTTCATTGGGTGGGGGGGGGGGGGGGGGGAAAGGCTCATTTTCAGTGCACTATACAAGAAGAACACAAGCCTTGACCTGAAAAGGCGGAAATGAATCACACTGTTACAATGAAAGCAATTTGCATAGGAAAGACGAGCAGTTTCACGAGTTCTAGCAAGTCAGCAGAAAGAACACTAAATCTTTTATGAGTCTGTCAGTGGCGGAGCCATCTTGTTCCAAGGGGTATTGATCGACACCCCTTCACTGAAAGATTACACCGAGGAAATAGGTGAAAAAATAGTTTTTATGTTTATATACTATCTGTTGAATCCCCCTGGCTTCTTCGTGTGTATACTTTTCTATGTTTTGACTCCCCTTAGTGAAAACATAGCTCCGTCACTGAAGTCCGTCGAGGTACTAACAAATGCATGAGCAGGTAAAACTTCTGCAGTATAATTAGGTAATATGGCAATAGAATCTGTCAAATATGTTCACGCATGCAAACTACTTCATTGGGTGGGGGGGGGGTGGGGGTGAAAGGCTCATTTTCAGTGCAATAAACTATAGCAAGTAGGACACTTTGCAGTCAACAAGATGTAATACAGCACAATTCAAAGAAGATACTACAAACATCTGCTTGAGTATAACATGTATTTACCTTTAAACCGGAGACGAATAGGCCGTGATGAATAACAGCACCATTTTCCAGATTGATATTTATAATCCAATCTGCTTCATCCATAAAGACCACTTAACAGCCTCAAGAAACTTATCATTTTTCCGTAATGCATTGATTAGGTTAGTGTAGGTTATTCGATCAGGTTCAATTCCATTTTTGCGCATTTCCTTGACCAAATCTACTGCACGTTCAACCATTCCAGCAATTCCATAAGCCTTTATCAATGTGTTATAGCTGCACAAATCAGGTCCAATTGATCCTGATTCCTTTAATTCTGCCAGTACATTCGAAACTTCTTCAATCCAACCTAGCTCGCCATAAATGTTTATCATAATGT